ACCCTCAGTATGACCTGTGTCTGCCTGTTCTCAGCACTGTTCCTGCTTCTGTCTGCACAATCTGCAAGGCTTCCTGTCACACAAGACTGGAGACAGCACTGTGTATAAGATGGGTTTCCCCCCCTCCCTCCCCCAAAATGTCAGAAAAATCAACAGGAAGTCTCATCCTATTCAGTTCTTGCACACCAGACTCCACTGTGGAGCCAGCCAGTAAAATCTTCCTTGGGATTCTGCCCCAAGCAAAGCACAGTGGAAGCTCTGTCAATTGACTCAGTGACTCGAGCTTCCTGAGATAGCATACACTGCCCTGTTACTCTCTTTGGATGCACAAAAAGCATTGGCTGGGTGGAGTGGAACTTTCGACTTCCTGCTCTTGAATGGCCAGACTCTGGTAATGCATTTAAATGATGAAAACTCTTTACACACCATCCCTTTATCCTTCGTGAACACTAGAAGCAGCACAGTCACTGCATTCTTCCTCCAGGGAAGACTGGGAATGCCCTGTATCCATCCTCTCTCTATTATCCCCTGCGCAAACAACCATCAACAGTGGCTATATAGGAACAAGCTAATCCATCATTTGCAGCCCAATGTATTACAGGTGCCGCTCCAGTTTGTATGTCGAACAAACTATACCAGGATACAAGTCATTCTCTCATAATTGAGAGGGATTAAAAGAGAAAAATAAATTCTATATTTTTTGTTTAAGGCATGACAGAGTCATTGTCCTGTGATAACAAAACAACTTTTTAAAAAATAAACTCCTACAAATATTGCGAGAGCTTTTTGGTGAGTTTTATTTTGGTAGACTCTGCCCTTTCACCTCCTCTAAATCCTACTACCTCCCCATCTCCCACCCCCCCGCCCCAAATACTGGCAGACCAAGCGAGTGGGGACACAAATTGCTCACAGTTTCTGCTGATGCATTCTGTGTAATGGCTGCAAGGAGGAAGCCAAAACTGCCCGGCAATGACTCACCTCCTTGGGAGGAAGCACCTGGCCTCCCCATAGGGCATCATACGCACGAACCTGCGTTTTTATCAACTCCGTGCTGCAGTATTTAGTTGCCCAATGTACTCGGCCACCTGCTTGGAACCTCATTGAGAAAAAGCGGCTAGAGCAATCATTTTCCCACATCTCTGTAGAAACCTTACGTAATCTGCAGGAAGGAGAACCTTCAAACCTTGAAAACAACTGCTCAGTTACTCCTCCAATAATGCTGTAATAGTGCACATTGGTTTTGGTTGCTGGGTGTGTGTGGGCAAACACAAGGCAATCCGTTCAGCGCTAACGGGAAAGACGATGAAAACATAGAAACATAAAACAAAAACTAATGAACTGGCAATTACAGCCATATATACACACGTTCTGACATGAGTGTTAATGCCTCTTAACTTGAAATATAAAAGTAATGCGTTCTCCTACCGTTTAATCACAACAGTGTAACATAAAACCAATATGGTTGATAGGAACCAGGGTTTACTTTGCCATGATACAAAAGTGAAATGCAGCTGCTTAACACAGTCATCTAATTTACCTTGGAAGGCATTTCAATAATAGTCTTAAAGAAACTGCTACCACAGAAATGTTTGGCTCGGTGCTGCAAGTCTGGCATGCCAACAAACTATTTCCATTTGAAAATTGCCAATGATATCAGAAACTCAATCTCCAAGGGCAAAGCCTTCAAACCGGTTAGACTCATTTCTTTGTAATATCTCCACTACAGTACAGCTATTATCAACTCTGATCAAACCAGGAGTCTGGTTTCCCACGTTTACACGTTCAAACAGCTGAATAAAGCGACGCGTCAGAAGCAAAAGATTTTAACATATTAACTGGCTAAAACAGTTTTATTCCCACATTATATACGAACCCAGAACCTCCAGATGAGAATGACAGATGTCCCCAACAAATAAACAATGACAACCAAAGATTTTCTGCTGGGAAACGGTCCAGAGCACATTTCATTTCAAGCTGCTGCAACTGTCAAATAAATGCAAACTATGCTTCACAAACGAGGAGAGTTATCCCATATTAAAAAAAATGTTTGGTGACCTTGTATATCAATTATTATGTTAATTGATACAAAATAACAAATTTAGCATCAAGTTTGACAAGAACCATTAATTTCATTTTGAAAAAACCCTCAAAACAACTGTTCTAAAGTATTTGATGCAATTTTTTGTAAAATAGTGCGTTTACATTTCACATCCGGTCTAATAGTAAGCTTTTCAGTTGTTTCCCTAACAATATGAGCAGTACAACTTCCGGTTTCGCCCACAAAATATACAGTCAATTCACTTTGCAGTATATCCTGTGAAGCGCTTTGAAGTGAAGACGTGATAAGGCGTATATCAAATACAAATTATTATTACCTCTCTGAATTTGTATTAATTTAACTTAAACCCTTTAAAATTGCTCATGATACCCGAGTCATTAGACAGACCCAACTCAGCAGTAGTTTATTTGTGTGTAAACAACTGACACTTGCCTTTTGGCTTGGGAGTTGTGTACTCACACTCAGCTTTTGGTAAACCAACCACTCCGTCCCAACTTTGTATCCTAAACTGAATTAACCCTCAGAAAACTCATTATAGCAGTAATCACAAATATAACACCAAAATGTTTGCCAGTCCCTTGACCAAAGATCCGATTATTGCTTAAATAACCATGCCGTACCTTCGAGTATAAAATATAATGTAGAAATGTTGTCAAATTTAGTTCAGCACATCTTGTCAATCCATATCTAAACTAGTGAAGGCCAGATGGGATAACATCATTGCAAACTTTAAAACTTTTGACAGTAGGATTATGCCGATAAGTAGGGCAACCATGCATGCTGGAGTGCTTATAAAGTATGCTCACGCACAGCTTGGATTTCTCTGATAACACAAATCGGGTGTGGAGACAATGTTACGCTACACTACCCACTCCAAAAATTGGTATTAGTATCCCACTGGATCCAGAATAACTACCCCAGGTAAAAAAAAGACGGAGACACATAGCAACACTGTACAGGATCGAATGAGCGGTCTCCTCAATAGAGGTAGGTCCAGCTGTATCATGTGGACTTGCGGCTTATTTCTTACATGGGGAACTCCCCTTCTCAGCCACGCAATCAGTGAAGGCACTGCGTCTGCCAGCAAAGCACTTCCCTCAACCGGAAAAGAGAGAGAACTCAGGACACCCAGTACTTTACTAGTAGGCAGTTACAAAATCGTAATGTGCATATCTGGTTAGCGAATCAGTTCAGAAGTCAAACCAGGGGCAAATGGAGAAAAGGATCCAGGTAAGAACGTACACCCACCCCCCGCCCCACCTTATTGGTAGCAAATTTCAGATGTTCTTTCACATATTCAAAACTCCTTGCGCTGCTCAATGGAAGATCTTTCATATTTCCCAAAATATATTCATTTCCTTTTGTATTTTATTCTCTATGCCCTTCAAAACGCATTTATTCCAAAACAGTATTCATCTGATTGGGCTTCTTCAATTAAGTGTTTTTTTTTAATTGCAATCCTCAAAATAAAAGGCAGGGGTTAGTCAATTCCATGAATTACTTGATTCTTCACAGTTTGAATTATTAGTGAGATGTAACAAAAGTGCGGTGATAGATGTGCCTAAGGTCTCATTATAACTAAAACATTTTGACACCAGAGAGAAAAATTACCAAAGTGAAAATTAAGATGTACAACACATCTTCCATCTGCTCCCCATTTGTGCAAACTTTCTGACTGCCACAGATTAAAACAACAGGCACCTACCCCACAGCTGCTTGGGCTACCAGTATAAGATAAGGAAAGTTCTCATGACACTTGTCTAGATCTGCCCTCCAGTCTGCTAATAAGTCGGCCATCAAGTTTTATTCTCACTATATCTCGTCAAATCCCTAGATTCAAATAAGGCCTCTGATCCTAATTGTACCTGTGCTATAGTACACAAGAGATTTGCTTCTGAACCTGACTCTGTCCTGATCAGTCCCTTCAACCTCTTCTACTCCCAGTGTGTCTTCACCTCTTTCTGGAAATTTGTTGGTGTTCATTCTATTCCATGTTGCTCACTGTGCTACTCTTAAAAATTAATCTCATCCCACCATCAAACTTCTTCTTAAGATTTTGGAAGTGCTTATCACCACGTTTTCCCTCCCATATATAATCTATAGGCGTTTAAAGCCTACACATGGCACAGACAAACTATTTCTTCTCGACTTATCTTATTTCTCTGGTTCTCTTTTCAACTTTGGTGGTCTAGCACACTATGGACTTTAGCTCTTTACCTAATCTTCCTTGAATCTCAGCTCTCCAAAAATTACAGCTATTAAGTTGTCTCAATCTTTTAAAAAATGAAACTTAAATAACACTGTAAAAATAAGTCAACATGCGGTATAAACAAGATACACAAGACTTGGTTTACGGAAATCTCCACCGCCAGTGAGTCAAGTGGACACAGCTCACCCATCATCCCTTAGACCTGACAGTTACACACCCTACTTCACTGCTTGGTCTATACTTTGGTAAACCACAGAAGTCTGTAATGCATCCTCCATACTGTGTACTTTGGGTAATTATATTTCAAGTTCAGGGATCAACTATTCCATTAGTCTGAGGTCCAGGAGCCAGACATTAACAGGTCATATTATTTATTTTTCCAACTTACCCATCCTTGTATACCAGGAACACAACATGCTTTTGATCATTTCTCTGCATTACCTCTCATCTCGAAGATCTGTTGATGTTACCAACCTTTGGTTCTCAGATCACGCAAAGCGCTTTGATTTCTACATGTTTTTCTTGGGTGTCTCAGCCCTTTCCAATCTGACTCATCAGCAAAGGGAGTAGGATGGGGGCCGGGGGTGGGCGGGGGGGTGGGGGGGGGAACCCTGCTGGTTTTCATTCTCTTGCTTTCCTCTCAATAAGCTCCAACAGATACAGGATAAACCACAGAACTGAGCACTGCTCACTCAATCTGCAATCTTTTTTGTGACGCTCTTACTGTCTTACCTTGTTTGTTGGTAGTGTATATTCGGTCCTTGATTCGAGTCCCTCCTGTAGCACAGCATCAATAAAAATAAATTAATTAAAAAGTTACAAACATCAAAAGCATTAAAACTGCACTGAACGTTTTTCATTGAACAGTGTCTCTGTAAATGGTGGGCTACTGCAAAATAGATAAACTGAAATTAAAATGATAAATCATATAAGCCCCCTTAATGATTAGATCATTCACATGAACAGTACTATTTGACTGTGCAGTGATAATCAGTCAGATTATGTCCTCCCCATTGTCCATATGCGCTCACTTTCCACAAGTGCTGCTGGAAATCAATCAGCGACACAATCCTCAATTTATTTCTCGCCCCCCATTTTAATCAAGAATGCAGAAGCCAACTGTAAGCCTTGGGACGTCTTCCTGATGCGAAAAGCGTTATATAAATGTAAATTTGCACTGTATTGTGACTATAACATCCCCACCACTCCACCAATTGAAATTGTTAACTCAGCGTAGAATGACGTCCGCTTACACGGCTCAGCGATCAATGAGCTGTGGCTTCACCAACTGAGCCTTTGGGGAGCTTCTAGTGTGGTCTTCAAGTAATATTACAACTAATAGGATGTTCAGCAACTGACTTGTACTGCCCTTGACTGAACTGGCTTCTGAACAGTCAACTTATCCAATTCACTGATAGTGAATGTTCATGACCACACAAGCATGAACTACCACACAAGCACACATGCATTGATTAATAGTTGCCCATGAATCAGATTCAAGTCCATGTAATTCCTGGGAGCTTTCTTATTGGTATAATGTTCATACAAATTGCTCAGCTGGGTTTCAGCTTTTGGATCATTGACAGCAAAATATTTACCCTATTTGCCATTGACTAATTCCATTAGATAGTTATTCTGAGTAAGATAAACTGCTGGAACCTATTCAGGTGCTCACAAGTAATGAAAAATACATAAAAATATTTATTTGAACCACAAGACCAAACAAAAAGTCTTCCTTTTTCAAACCAAATAAGAATATTTAAAGAAAAAAGATCAGAACATAAAAGAGAAATTACTTAATAAGAAAATATATCTATGAAAAGTTGGGATGGCTCGATATAAATTGGACCAGTTGTCAAATCTGAAAGTATTTAAAGCCTGCTAATAGCCAAGACTTCAAATGTTTTGATAGGACAATTTAATAACCGTACAATCAAACTATTCCAGATTGACATTTTCTTTTCAAGTGCTGTTTAAACAGCTGCACTGGAAAACACCCACAAATACCAATTTAAATAATGGAACATCCAAAAATCTAGGTTTGCAATTCCCTCCCTCAATACATTTATATTTTAAGCATACAAAATAACAAAAAAAGTTGTTTTATTACTTACTTTAAAATAAAATGCAAATTGGCAGAAAGCCGTGGGTCTGTAAACTGCGTGGTCCTGTTGTTATGGTCGACAAAGTAGACCCTTCCTGTGGCTGTATTGCGGATTTCCCAACCCGGGGGCAATGGCCCGAGTTCCTCACAATTTACGTTGCTAAGATCCCTGCAAAAACAAACAGACGACTACCTCAGCATGCTCTTCATGCCAAACCAATTAAAATGGTAAAGAACACAATTCCATAATGTCAGAAAAACCACAATGTTCCAAGAACTTGATACTTTCTGCTAGAATCTTTTAGTATCCCAAGATACAAGCTCACAAAACCTAAATAGGCCTCAACTAGGTTGTCATGCTATTAATCTATATTTTCACAGCAAACGTCAGCCAAATGGCTATACTCCAAAGAAAAGGAATCCATTAAAAGCATACGTTTTTCTACCTTTCATATTCATAATATATCGATAGTTCCCAAGGAATATAGTAACTTCAAAAGTCACTTTTTTTAGACCACATCTGTACTCGACTACTGAGAGCAACAAGGGGGATTCAAATCAAATTACCACATTTAAGAAATGCTTTGGTTTTTAATTCTACACTAATTTAATTTCTGCTTTCTCAAAGACTTTGTCAACCCTCAACTGCACCAATGCACCACTTAAGCCAAGTCAATAAGCAGATGACCTGCCTCTGCAACTAAACATTTAAGTGGTGCTGAGCAGCTTAAACCTTTTCTCTACTCAGTAGGCTGAGTGTTGAAGGGCACAGTTTAATGCTTAGGATTCCTCAAAGAATGAGCTCCCAGACTCAGGTGGTCCATTAGGGAAGTCCAGCCTGTTGCTGAGTGACAGTGCCAGAGCCCTGGAGCCACACTGACTGGTCATTCTCGTGAGAGGGAAATGGCAAATGGTCTCTAGAAGTAGCAGTACAACTTTAAAAAAAAAAGGAGGAAAAGAAAAAGGAATGATAAGTCGACACTTACAAGGAAGTATCTTTTTAAACTTTTACGATTAAAAATTGGATTTTTAAAAAATAATTTGAGTTGAACTGAAATGACAAGAGTTATCTGTCACAACACTAACTTTTTAAATTAGTCAAAACTGCAACGGGAACGCCAATGGGAGGGAGGAAGCATCACTGCTGCTCCGCTTCTGGGGGAAAGTACTGGGCTGTATTTTGCAGCCAAACAAAAGTAAATATATTTTACTAAATTCTGCGAGAGTGATTTTAACTTTAACTGGCTAGTTAACATTGCTTCAAGTGAAACAACATTATTACATATTATTAAACAGCACCGCCACAGCTCCTCTGCTGGGCAGGAATAGTATTTTGGCTCACCTCGGACGCCTCTTAAGTCAGACAAAATGTTCGTCCCCCAATGTGTCTGGCTTAACTGGCTTCCACGGTATATATTTTTATTGCACAAAAAAAGGAAAAGAACTATTACCTCTAATTTCAACACATACCAAAAGTGATTGATGAGAAGATATCATTCGAGCTCTTCGTAGACTATGCTATGGCTGAAGTCCCTTCCTAGTACACAAACTAAACTTCCTTGCAATGATGCCATGAACCTGTCTGTCCATTTCTCTCTCTGTTTTTCTGTAGCAGTTGCATTAGGCCTCGTTTCCTTTACCTGGGTACTCGGGGATCATGCCACGTGCTCACCCCAGTCTGTGTGTGCAGAAAGTACACCTGACCTTGTTGGGTCGTCCTTTGTTCTAGGAAAATAAGATAGGGCCATAGTAAACTCAACTGATCAAATGTAGTATTTAAAAGCTCGCAAGCAGCATACTGCTAAATAAAAAACATATTTTGATTACATAACAGAAATTAGGATTGTAATTAGTATCAGAGCATCAGCTAAGGATTAGAGCACTTCTACTTGCCCAGACTTAAAACAGGAAAAGGGATGTGTGATGCAGACAGCCCCAAGAAGTTTCCCCACACTTCATATAAAAAAAATTGACTAAAGAAAGAATAAGGGAGTCAACCATTTCCCATAAATAGTTTTTTTTTAAATATACAATTCGTTCAATTTGTGCTGAATAAGCCTAATATAAAATGGAAGCAACTATATTTAATCATAATATTCTGGTTTCACATCCTCACCACTCAGAACAACGCAGACAAATAACTCAAAAATAGGAGAATGGTAATTCAATGCATTTTAGACTTAACTTGTGATGTTTTGAAGGTGCTGAAATTGACAGGCTGGGTGGATCAATAATCAGAACAACAAATCTGATTTGTGAATAACATGCCCAACCCATTCAACATCCCTGACTCACACGATAAAAGCACAGTAATTCAACTTTTCTAAAATGACATATCTATTTCAATTAACTACATGCTCTGCATGCTTCACATACCGACTATAACACCAGTTTGCTGGCAAGTAAACAGATTGCCTGTTGTCCAGGCAACCTTTTCCCCGTAGATTTCATTGTCTCCATAATATACTGCATACTTATTGAGTACTGAACATTGAACCATTTCAAAATACTGGTGTTTTTTCTTACCAAGACTCCCAGTAGCTAAACATGGACTAGGTTTCCATTCTTCCTCAAAAACTCAACCAGCAAATACACTGCCTGAAATGAGCATATGAGGTGGTGAAAATCTCTGGTTCAGAGCTCTGTACAGCCACTAAAATTGGCCTCCGTGCCCCCAAGCAAGAGAGGGGAGCTTATGGAGCATTTCTGAAGATGAGCTATTACGACAAGTATTTCATGAACATCGTGGGGTGGAGAAAGTCCAAGGGGGAGAGCACTCTGTGCTGGTAACCATGAAAGGTTGATAGATAGATGACCCGAAGCAGTTCCTCTACTTGCTCACCGAAAAAGGCCTTTCTTGTTGAAAAACATCTGTAAGAGCTTTGGTTGCAGTACCTGCCAGAAATTCTGTCAACCTCTGCCAAGCCAAGCAGTGAAGCAAGTTCCCCTGGGTGATCAAACTCAATGCTGTGTCTAGGGTGTCCAAACACAGCCTGTTGCTGCCGAACAGTCTTCAATCAAGAAAGGGGATTGTCCACTGAAAGCAGCCTAAAGTGTTCAATCAACAGCCTGATCTAGAAAAGCCTGTGCATGGATTTGATGACGCCATCTCCAGAACCAAAGCAGTAGGCCATGACGTTGGTTCACCTAGGAACCCAATATTTTAGTACCACTGTAAACCTTTGTGTGTACCCCACCGCATGTGAAGGGAGCTGAAAGGTCCACTTTGCATCAACAGACAAACTCCTCATTGCTAACCAAAACAGCCAGCTGATGAATATTGGCCATATTTTGAGAGCATAAGACAGTGCTCTACAAGTCTCAGCTGCTGTCTCAGATCCTTAAACAGATAGCAAGGTTTTGCTGATAGATTCTGTTGCATGGACCATATCTTGTTACACAATGTATGTGGATTCAACAAATTCATTTATTTTTCTTCCCCAAAAAAGGAAATTGAATCAACTACTTTGATTGCTGACATCTGAAATAGCAGAAGAATGAATAGTTCCACCCAGCCTGTAAATTTGAATTCTTCCTTATACAATATATTCAACAAAGTGGCACATAAAAAGGCAGAATGAACTCAGCATAGCCACTTCCTTCATATTAGTCAACAAATAATCTCCAATTTGACCATTGCTTCACTAAACACAAAATTCTACTTTACACACATTAAACCCCAAATCTACCTGTAATGGGATGACTGCCAAGCATGACTAGTGATTCTAAGAACAACAACAAATTACATTTATATAATGGCTTTCACATTGGAAGCACCATTTTAGAGAAGGCATCAATGACTTACCATAACCTTCAGGGAGATCAGGTGGGAGATGCAAATGTGTCCTGCTCATATAATTTCTGTGCCTCTGTGACCTCACCCTCCTCTCCGCCATTCTTGGGTCAGGGGTCTGACCACATGAGGCGCCATTAGCTGGTGTAATCGGTGTGTTTTCATCTACAAAACAACTAATTGGCCTGCTAGGACTGGCATATTCAGAGGCCGGCCTATATCCCATGTGGGAGGGGGAATGAGAAATATAAAATTACACATGGACTGAACAGAAATATATAAAACCATCCTAAAAAAAGACAAAGTTAAGAGTGATGCACAACAACGACAAACACTCCCACAATCATTGTAATATTTCTTACAAGTAGAGTTTGCAATCTCAGTCGTGTGACTGTGCAAAGGTGATGAACAAGGCTGGGAGCTGCTAACAGGTAAAAGGAGGAATACACAGAGCTCTGGAAGCATGACCCCAGCTTGTTCTCTCAGCTGAAGGAGATGCACAGCACAAGGGGAGGCCACAAAGGAAAATAAATGACTAAGTATTAAAATAGTAAAAATTTGACAGGCAGTCTAGTAACACACTACTACAAATTACTGAATTCTAGAACAGAACACAACAACAAAATTACATCTGTATAGTGCCTTTCACATCGAGAGGATGTCCCAAGACCCTGGAGGTGTAACTTCTCACTAAATTAATATATACAAGCAGCGACAAGGCTGGAAACAGGTTAAACAATGTGAGAGGAGGGTAGAAAAGAGCTAAGAGAATTTAAACACGATTTTGGCCAGCAGGGCTCCTAAAGGTTTTCTAAAGGATAGAGGGATTTTCTAAAGGATAGAGAGATTAAGGGATATAGGGAGAGGGCGGGTAAATGAAATTAGGTTAGAAGATGAGCCATGATCTTATTAAATGGCAGGGCAGGCTCGAGGGCCAAATGGCCTACTACTGCTCCTACATATTATGGCTGTTGGGTGGGTTCTGGGGGCATAAAACCCCAAACAGTGCTATAATCGCACTGCACATAAGAAGCAACATCAGCAGCAATGTGATGACCTAAATTAGCCATTGTTAGTGCGTGAGAAGCTAGACAACGTTTGAAGCAAACGGGCATTTCTGCATGCATTTTAGATTTTTTGTTGAACAAATGTCAGGACCTACATTATACTGGGGACTAACTACATTGACAAAATTTGAAACAATCCTATGTTAATTTAATCAATTTAATTTTTATCCATTTCATGAAGATTTAGAAGTGACCTGCTGAAACAATACTAGTTATTACTTCAGCATTAACTAAACAACTAACCATCTGAAATGTGCACTGCCAGCCCGACTTTGCAGGCGACTCAAATAAAAAGACTGGCTTCTGCTCATGTGACTTATATCTGTCACGTCGCCCGACAGGAAGGAGTCTGATAAGGTGGAATTTTCAGGGAGACTTGTCTGAAACTCTGGTGAAGTAATGGCTCTTTCTGATACTAATGCTCGTTTATCTAAGACAGATTTTTAACACATTGTACTGTAGGTCACAATTTTAGTTGATGAAGTCTGTGTACATAATGCACTGATAACAAAGTCATTAATTTTAATCAGGTTAAAAAGGTTCCAAAAAATAGGCTGAAATGTCTACTGTTAAAGCTCTACTGCACCTTAACTACATTAATTTCCACAAGACTCAAAGTATTATCTGTATGAAACTATTTTGCAATATTTTAGGGGAATGAAGATATGAGCTACATGGCGTAACAGCACTCTGCAATCACAGTGCAACAGTTAAGGTCAAAGAGTATAGCCGAACATAATTGGTAAACAACTCTGATTTGCAACCCTAATGCTTCACAAATCTTTTTAAACACAGAATCAACATAACGCACATTTGGAAAAGGTCTCTCTAATTATAAACGTTTCTGTGAAAGTAACCTTAATTGTACAGATCTGGGAAGCACAGAAAATCTACTTTACTATGTTCTTAGGTGGTCAGAACACAACAACAAGTTGCATTTATATTGCGCCCTTCAGGCAGGGTAGCATCCCAGAGCATTTGAAGCACATTTCTGTTTTAAAAAAAGTTATTGTTGAAGTTATACAAAATGAAAGGATTTTGAAAATTTCTTCAGATAAAAATGGATCCATTTGAAGATAGGAGTTTTAGTTTACACTCCGCTTCATGCCAGAGGCATAACACCTTTGTTACCAGCAATGGAGTGCGGTGCAAGGCATGCAGAAGAATGTATAAAAGAAACTGAAATTGGGTTATCTAGCCTTGGAATGCTTGAAATTCAAGCTATCCAAATAAAAAGTTAAGCAGAATAGTTTTCAGTATTTTAAGTTATATACTGTACTTCAAAATTATTATTAGTTTCTTCCCCTCCAGCGTTTTTTCAGCAATTGCAAGAGTTCGACAGTCAGTGTAAAAGTGAACCTTGCACACTAATAACCCTCAGTGAGATAGGGATCGATTGAAAAACATTAGCCAGGATTTCTGCTTGCTCACCAGTGATTTCTGGTGCAAAGTACACAATGCATAAAGGGAGAGGAGATCAATGCAGTTTTAATAGCACCCTATTATAGGTACACACATGGCCCGCTTCTAGCTGCTAGAGGAGAAGTGCATTTTAATAATCCGGTGCTTACCGAGTTGGTCTTTCCCACTGTGTGGTACGTGTGATGTGGTTAAGATATTGTATCCGGCCTGAGGCAGTTCTGCGTTCCTCCCAACTAGTGAACAGAAAAAGACACAAGTGTACTTCCTGGAAATGAGAGGAGAAACACTTCCAGAACAACCAACAAAGGAAACCATTCACTGCTAGGAAATGTGGGAAATAGAGTTATCAGTAAAAATGATACATGCATTTGATAAAGTGCTTTATCACATCAAAAGTCTCAAAGTCATGCACAATACTAAATGCATAATTGTGGCAGCCAATCTGTGTAACATTCTAACAAAAACGGAATCATCAGCTTTTCCCCGCCCCCAATATAACTGAATGAATTTTGTTTCTCTTTCCTATCTAATGGGCTACAGTTCCATGGGTGCCGTGTATCTTCTGGTACCTTTCCTAAGGGGGTATTATTCAAGTGGAGGCTTTCATAGTCAAGTGTAGGCAGGCTATTCAACTGCAGCGGGAATCACATCCCAATCCAATCCTGTCTTCACCCAAAGTACACACATGTACCTCCCAGCAGGGCTAGTGATCAGAACTATACATGTTAATATTTGGATTTATAGATTGATTACATATTCCAAATTTTATCCTAATGCACTGACGTCAAATATAATTACAGTTGCAACAGGGCTGGAATGTCTGCACAGCATTCTACTAAATTCAGAATTATGACTAGAAATACATTTAGATGACATTAGAGTTGCACAAATAACCCCACATTTATGGAGTCAAGAGCAGAGAACATTTGCACCTATGCCATTAGCATGCTTTGCAAACAGGACAGTTTCTAGCAATTACTAAATGTACTACTGACATCTTGCAACATAGGTCAAATTGGAAAATCAAACATCCACCAGACAGTTGAACATGGGATTAGAAAAACTCTCTGAAGAAAAGTCAGTCAAAATCTTATTGCAGAAAATCAGAACAAAATGTCTCATAGTAATTATAGGTTAAGAAGCTCAAGATGTTTTTGCTTCAGCAGAAATTTGGGGGTTACAGATAAGAGCAGAGGAAAATAAATTTGAAATTGGATTTAAAATGCAATTCTAATTGAAAGTGCAGTTGAAATGGAATGGAATTGAGGGTTAGGCGGGAAATGAACGTCTAGGATGTTGATCCAATGGTCTGGAATGTAGACAAATATGCTATATGAGCCTAGTAGAGTTTCTCCATTCTCTTACTACAAAAACATTATATTGTAACAAAAAAAATCACCATGAAAATGAGGTTGGACTAGTGAAAATAAATCTGGGCTACCTATGAAAAACTGTAACGGTCTAAAAAGATCCCTTCTACGACACTCGATTACTTTTAACAATTCTAAACAATTACAAGGAATAATAATCCTTAACAATCCTTTTCAGCGTTTTGGGACGTCCTCCCGACGTGAAAGGCGCTCTATAAATGTGATTTTGTTGTTACATTTAATGTAGTGCCTTTCACAACAGAGCTTCAAAGAATTTACTATGAAATGCAGTGACTATTTTGTTGGTGCAAGATTAGTTGTGACAGCAACATTTTTTAGCAATGTTTTCATGTTGAAAATATAATATTATACTCACTCTCAAATTTATTGTATTTAAATTTATTCTTAGGACACAGATTAGTTCCCATTATGTGGTTGAAAAATCTTATAATGACTTTACTTGCTGACAACTGATTTTATAAGGCTTTCCAGCCAATAATTTCTTACCCATCAGGCAAATCGTTATCAAACAAGCGACTGCAGTCCACCACAGGACCTCCACTGCCTATCCGATCTCTAGACTGTAAGCTTACTGTCAATAGATAAACAGACACTCAGTTTAGGAGATGAAGAAAATCTGCAAAAGCTGGAAATTTGAAATTAAAAAGGAAAGTGTTATATATTTTCAGCAGCTTAATCTGCCATTGAAAGTGAATGACAGGTTCAGGAACGACCCTTTCCAGTTCTGTGGTTCAGTCCATCTGTACTTTTCTCTCTCCCATATATAAACAAATCAAACAACACACACTTCCCCTTTTGGTTTCCATGTGCCTCACACTATTGCCAAACCAAAAGAACAGACAAGTTTCCTGTTCCCAGGCATCTGTCCAGACTGCTCCTAAATTGAACAGGAATGGGCCAGGATGACTTGTGTGTTTCATATTTATTTTTGATGTTTCTCCATAGGAAATTCCCTTCGCTTCACATATGCCTCCACCTCACAATCCCTGTGAAACAGATTGGAAAACCACCACTGGGAAAAACAGAGTCATCAAACCCGTATCCTAATACTTCATAGGCCAATAAGAAGTTATAACAAATCAGTGTACTATTGGACTATCTGAACCATTCCATTAGTAAACGTTCCCACCAATTCCTTTATGGTCCAGAAGAGAATCTTTACACATACCTACTATCTGTCCCCTTACTGTATCATTGTCATTAGGGCTCAGTTTGCATAGATCCAGTCTCTGGTCTGCAGAAAATGAAAACATTTGTTATTATTTATTCCATGATAGAAGTACTCAGTGACTGCCATTTGTGAGTCAGGTTATAAGGAGACTTTCCTTCAGGTTAATTAGAACTCAAAATTTTCATCTCATTTTCATCTTCACTTTGAACTGTGCTCAGTTCACAAGTATGGACTTAACTCTGATAACTGACAGAAGCACTTCAGAAATTTCTCCATTACAAAGCTATAAGCCACTCTTCTCTAGCAGAGGAGAAATGTACCACTTTGTTCATAATCTCGGCTTCACCAGTGCATCTCAACAAATCATTTGTCAATACTGGAGACCTTTGGGCTGCCCCAAATCATCCACAACCTGTCTGAATGTTGGAAGTTGATTATTAAGCGAAAGGAGAACTGACTGGTACAGCAAGGTACTGGTCAGAAGTTGGCTGCCAAGGCTGCCCATTACACAGGCTCATCTACCAGAATTAGGATAATGGTGCTTATTTCTCTGCCATTATAAGCATCTCTAAGAAGCTGATTGATTAATTAATTATTAAATTGATGAACAATCGTAAAGTGTCCTAAGAAAAAAATAACTTACATTAGTAAGAATTAAAAAACCACACAGAGAATCACAGAAAACCTAGATCAATGAAAAATAGTTATATTCCAAGGTTTCAAAGTACATTTTACTCACAACCGGTATCTTTAAGGCGATTGATGGCATTGGAAAGCAGCCGCACGCAGCCAAGGAACCCTGCACCCTGCTTTTTGTGGATTTTCTTGTGATTCCAAACGCTAATGGTTATAGAGTCTGATCTTCCAATATATCTAGAATCAATATAAAGCAGGAATCATATTAATCTGTTCACTTAATAATTAAGGAACATTAAAGTCAGTTTGTATAATATGGTATTATGCGGCCTTTTCAGACAGATTGTCTGGCGCAGGACAAATCAACCCACTTGGCTACCTAACAAAGAAAGAGGAGGTGTAAGATAGAAAAAATAAGTTATATACAAAATCGAGGATAGTGAAGAACAATAAGCACAAATGCCTGAAGGTTTAAAACGATCCTGCAATTCACCCTACACATAGTTTATATCCTAGAAGCAAAAATATGCAAAAGCAATTCAAGTCCTAGAATCCAAATTAATGGTTCATCATCTCACAGAACAACAAAATATTAAATTATTCTCAGTATCAGCAGTGAAGGCGTTCTTTTGTATAATCCCGTCCTTACTGATTGCGTTTCAAAACAATGACAAGGCACCAATTACTGCACCCATCAGAAAGATAACAACTGCACATTAAAACAAACTTAGGTCTCATTTTCACCAAACTAATGAATCTTTCTGCACCTTTCATTTTTTAAATTAGTCTAGATGGTGTTACTGTGGTTGAAGTACATGAGTCTGCTCTTATAATCTGCTGTAATCAAAATGTATGTGAAAACAGAACAGCTCCTACAAAGTAAAAATCAACTTGCAATTCAAATCACTGCCAAGAATAATCAGCAGCAATTACAGATTCAGTAGCAACACATCCAGACATCTTAACACAGCCAACTAATGTTATTACTAACTCCTATGAATAGAACGGAATGAGCCCATCCTGCTGAAGTCTGTGCGCTATTAATCAGAATGGAGTTTCAGCCAATATCAGGTGTTTTTTTTTATATCCTGCTCCTTCAGAATAGTTGACATTGCTGTTTAAAGGAGAGGGAAACCTCTTTAGATAAGCAGCAAAACATCCCAATCAATTAGAGACAGGGGTGGGGGGGACCTTTTGTGATTAGCCTCCAAACAGAATGAACACTTAAATAAGAAATAGGAAGTGATTTCTCCCCACCACATTTGGAAATAACTTTGTTCCAACCAATAAATCCACACCAAAATAAACTCGCAATGCCTCAATTTTTCTTACTGTCACTATTAATATAAACAAATCTAAATATACAATAATGCCAATTCAAGGTTCCCTTAAGAGCACACAATTCTCACGATTAACAAATTTAGCTTTTCTTTGATTCATGACCAGACAGAAGCAGAGACTAAGGGGCCAAACTCTCTGCCGCCGTTGTGGAGCCTATTTGGAAAGGTTATAGGAGGGCAATGTCAAGCCACTAAGGAAACACACAATAGATGTTCAGAGGAAGAAAAAGCTCAGTATCGGGGTGTGTGAAGCTTTCAGTTTGGACACATTCCAAACAGAATAGTGATTATGAATATGTGGAAACCTCGTAACTTTTTTTTAATGAACCACCTCAACAAAGGACCATCATTAGATTAAATCATGAGAACAAAAAGACTGGATAGGGCAGGCAAGTACTGAAAATCTGGCTCCTTTTAGTACCAGACAGCAGTCTCTTAAAATTCTTATCTTGCTGATTTTTTTGTGCGAAATAAGGCAAACATTTTGATGCAGTAAAACTGAGGCATCATAAACTTTGGTGTCTTAAATTCTGCTCCTGGTGAATGTGTAACAACAACCTTATTTCAAAGATAAAGTTCATTGAAAGTACTTCAAGACCATTTTTGAAAAAAACACCTAATCTAATCAAGCATTTCTTTTACAAAAAAATGTAACCACATTCCAATAAAATCTAACATTAATCAGACTGTGAAATCACCACCTATTCCTACTGCATTCACATTCAGCCACTACACCAGCAATATCATATGAACATCCAGCCTGGGTGCTATTCAGGAGCCACCTGGAAAGGTTAGTACCAACTGGCTATTGTATGCTCACTTATTGAATGTTAATGTACATAAGGAACATTACCGCAAAATGATAAGAGATTATAAACCTCAAATTCCACAACCTTTGCTTGTGGAAAAGATTAGATAATCTGCAGTTCCCCAGTGTGATATTAAACAAGTTTTTTTTGTTTCTCAGTAAACAACTCCTGAAGAACAAAAAGCACTAGATTGCCAATGGCTAACAATTCATGTATTCATTCACTATTTTAGAAAAAAAAATGTGGATTATCTTATATTTTACAATATTGGCAATGTTATTTACAATATTGCATTATTAGCACCTTAGGCAATTCAGCCACTTGAGCCTGTTCTGCCATTCTAAAAGATCATGGCTGATCTGCACCTCAACTCCAATTACCCCATATCCCTTGATACCCTGACCTAACAAATATCTATCCACCTCAATCTTGAAAATGTGAATGGATCCAGCATCCACAGTCTTTTCGGTGAGAGAGTTCCAGATTTTCAGATGCCTTCACTTTTAAAGATTTGGGCAAAATATGTACAACCACCTACAATTATCAGCAAGAAACATTCAGCGGGCATGCAGTGCCGACCTAATCTGTTTTAATCTTGAAACAGCAATCAAATGAACAAACTGGAACTTAGCCAGCGAGACACCATCTGTCAACCATGGCATGCAAGTCATTTCCGGTTACACTGTATGTATCATAGATCAGTCGCAGTCTGCTTTTTGGCCCAATAGCATGGGTCCAACCTCTAGTATGACACACTACAAATCCAGTATTTTCCAATGATTCATGCTTACAATAGCATGCATACATTTTTAAAAACCCGCAGCATCATTCCAATTCTGAACTCCAATAATCGTTCTATTCTACAATAAGCAGTGATTTGATAATCTAAGCACATTCGCTTTCAAAATCTGAAACACTAAACAGTACTGTAGAACCAGTAAAGCCACACTGCTTCATGCACCCAACAGCTTTTGTGTTTAATAGACTTTAAATGCTGAGGATTAATCCTGGGTTGACTCCTCTGTGCAGAAGTTCATCTAACTGTAAGTGAAGTAGGTGAACTTCACTGAAATAAGGCAGTAGGATCATTGTGCAGCATGTCTGATAGTCAGCTGATTCACTTCTATTTATAACACAAGCCTTCTATTTTTCTAAACTTTTACCCTAATTACTCTCCATGATATGCACCATCCATGGGTGGAGAGGTATCTGGTTACTACATTTCCAACGATGTGGCTCTGAAACAAGGAGACTCTTCCCTGGCTTTCAATTTTCTGCAGATATCTGTAGGGATGCACCTGCTTCAGCTCATAGCCCATTTTTGTCACTCCAAAGCTCTGCTCCACCTTGATGATTTATTACAATGCAAATCAAATGGAAACTATTTACTTTCTTAAACAGTTTACTTTTCCCTCATCACAGTGTTACTGTGCTCATAGAAACATTGGCCTTGTTCAAACGCTGTTTTGTTTAGGGCACAATGATTACTTTGCCCATTGGAGCTCTGATACAATGAGTTTGACAAACATGAGTATGACAAACAAGCAGCTACACCAATAATCGCTTATACACTGAATTTTCAAGCTATCTGCTAAAATCATGGGCGAGGGAAAAGGCAGGCCCAGAGATTTCTCACAGGGAGGAGGATCCCTGATTGTAAACCATTCAACCTCTGAGCCTGCTCGCAGCTGATCATGGACAGTCATTGGCAATGCAAAGCTTTGGATGCAAGTTTCCTGCTTTCTCAGGTTGAAATGGAACAGATAAAAATGTTATTCTTTGCTCGTTTCTTCCCTCTTAAGTCTCTCATGCCAGAAACCATTCCTCAACTAAGATGACAGGCAGATGATAAGTTTCCATGCTTCTTCCACTGCTACAAGAATATCACAAACACACTTGCCCTCCAGGGAAGCAGTCTGCCTCTGCCCAGTGGCTCCCCTAGTCGACTTCACTGAGGTCGGAAGAACACTGTTGAGAATCTCGAACAAGAATCTACAGACTACCACTCAGTCACACAGCAGGCTGTCTACTCAGAGCTTTTAAAAATCATACCTTTGGGTCATTGCTCAAGTGTTTCACAAGTATAGTTCATAGAAAGGCACAGAAAAAACAGTAAATTACATTGTGTTGTCTCAAAAATAAACAGTGCAGTCAAAAAAATACACATTAAAAAAGAACAATTTTTAAACAGCTCATCTCCCTTTCTCCACACATAGTGTTTACTGTATAATTTTAACAACAGTAACTATTCCTAGAATTTAATCAGATACTTACAGATCATAATGTTGGTTCCACTTTGGATCTAGGGTGTTCTTTACTGTGTCTGTAGAGTGGCATTGCCCAGACCCATCTACTACCACCTTTGCAAAGGGATCGGGGAGTCCTAAAGAAAAACAAACAGCATAAAAGTTTTGATAATATATTAGTTTCATCATTTAAGCTAAAAGCTAACATTAACTATAATATGTACAATACACTACTAAAAACAGCTTCAACTATGTTTTTTCTCTCCAAAAATAATATTCTTAACTTGGAGTGACTTTCCAAAACCCTTCAAAATATTCGCCCTTTATGAAAAGCACTACATCTCAACACGAGTTACACAAATATGGAAAACAGCCCGTTAGCAAAACGCAACTGCAAACCCGAAAATGTAAACTTGGCCAAAGTTTAGTTTTCCGGGCTTGTGCAGTCAACAAAAGGTCTTCACTGTTGTTGAAAACCATTGGCTTACCTTTGCCAACTTCCAGGGTTCAACAGTTGACTATTTTTCAATCTCAAATTTGTGAAAATCGTATGTTAAACCCCAGTATTTCCAAATACAATTAATTTGGATTTGGTTTTGCGAGAATAAAACATATTTTTAGGAATAACTCTTAGAATATTAAGTTTCATATCCCTGGTTTGACAACACTATACAGACATCACAGTGCAAACATAACTGCATTCAGATAAAAGGATTTTGTTTTAAACCTATTTCACACAAAAGAACAAAGGAACATTTATAGAATGATGAAGAATAAAGGATTTTAAGCAAATTATTGCACAGTTAACTTCCATTACTAAATTAGCTGATACGGTTGGGAACTTTAGTATAAAACGTCTGAAATACTCACGAAAAAAGTCTTTCTTCACCAGGTTCTTCGCACATAATACTGGAATAAAAAAGGTAAAAATGTTTACTTAAATGGAATAAACACCACAATAATCTTTAAAGTATAATTTAAAGCACTTGCTATATTTAAAGTACAACTGATTAGGTTAGAATGTGATGCAAATAATATTTAGCTGTCGGTGAGGATGGGAATTGTCAGTACTTTCCGCGTCATTGATGCCTGCTGAAACCACAGCAACACATTTATTGTGACATGACCCTACGTCCGAGGAATGAACTGCAGGTCAATTTTCCAGAAACCTGATGACTAGTATACATAATTGAAGTATAAAGTTTCTATTTCTGCAGTAAGATTTGTTTGCACAATAGCACCTGCTTCCTTGTTCAGTCAATAACTTCCTTGTTCATTCTACAGATTAAGAGTTAACACCTCACTTACATTCCAAAACATTCAAATTATACATTTCATCTTTGTGTAATTTAATACCGTGTTCACCTGTAAAAATCTGCACCTCAAATTCCCAGAAATTTTCATAACAGGTCACAGTGTTAAGACTTTGCAGATCATCTGACTGGGAATTCCTAGACATATCCATCAATCAAGAATATCCAGGGAAGTTCAAGTAGTTCTATTTTACTGCATACCTGAAGATCTATACTTAAGCAAAGAATCCAATAACCTGTGTGCACTGCGAGGAACGAGAATTAAAAGTGAACTTTACAAGAAAAAGATGCAATTTATTTGAGCACTTAAATTTGGTGAATTCTAACACAATTTGGTGTAGATGAAGATAAATCACCACACAGCTAGATATCAAGTTGATTTGCACCCCCCCCCCCACACCTTTGTTTTGGATGAAGTTTCTTATTTTCTCCAACCGCTGAGTTTCTGCCACCTTGCATCCATCCCTTCCTTAGCCACAAAGGAGAGCAAGACACTCTGGACCAAAGCTTCTACAGGACTGACTTCAAAGCTATTTCAAAACATTTCCCATGTGGTGGCTTGGTTTATAACATTTGTGTCGGCCAAATATTTTGCTCTATCCCTCCTTTCCATTGTCATCACGAGGCTCCTTACTAGCAACCGCATTGAGAACCACAAGAGACATCTAAGGGTAGAGACTTCAAAAGTGTCACACGGAGCATGCACTCAGACTTTCTCAATAGAAATCGAAGGCATCACTCGTGCCAAACCGCACACTTTCTTCTAATTTAAACTTTAGCAAGAAATATGGTACAAAGACTGTATTCCCAGACAATCTGGCACAGTACCCTCAGCATCATAATACTGTACTCCTAACCCACAAGGTTCACAGGTTTCAATGCCAGCATTCACTGGCAATTGAACCTGCTTTCTCTCATTGAGGGTGAACTTCGTTCGTTCTCACCACAACAAATTCTCAAACCGATTTCAAATGGAATCTTGGCCGCAGCAGTTTTTTGGGTGGAGGAAAAAAATCAGTGAACTCACCGTCAATTTTTTAAAATGATTTTTGTGCTGTTGTGTAAAGACGACCCAAACCCTCACTACGTTAGCCTTCCTTTTAAGTGGATGACAGTCTTTAAGAGGATGTCAGCAACCACATCATAGTAAAATAGAAATTTTGTTTACTGTTTTTCTCAATTACTACCAATCCACACACACCTGAAATTTGTATCAAATTCTAACAGAATTTGAGGCTTTTCTCTTTCTGAGAGTTGCTCATGTCTCTCACATTTTGTGCACTTTAAGTAGTATTTTTTAAAAAAAAGACTGTATACTGTCAGTTACAGTTTGATCGAAGTAGTTCAGTCAGGCCTGTTTAGTGCATTAATACCTCTGGGATATGACTGAAGAGGAGACAATCTAGGAAACAATGTCTGGGATGGATTCTCTTGGTAGACAATTACCTCTTGGAGAAAATTTCTGACCTAATTACAAAACTGAATTATTCAAATCCAACAAATTCTAAAAGAAATCCTAAATAACCATATTATTGTACAAAAGGAACTTTTTCACAAGTTGTTTTTGGGGGGAGAAGAGAGTGAGTGGAAAACGATCAAATGAAATGCTGACAATGTTTTATTTTTGTTCCAATATTCTTTTGTTAAAGGTTGAAGATTCCAGTATTTTTCTGTGATCATTGAAAGCATAAACTTTATAGGTTTTATATAATCTGATGTGTCAGTGATATGGATTTTAAATGCAAACACCCAAACTATCATGACACAATTTAAGATTCATGCCGACAGTGTCACCATTTGTTCCATGAAGCACATATACTACATATTTATTTAAAAAATGCACTATTTTCTGCCAGGCAGCTGAATCTGCGAGCAATTTTTTTCTCTGCAAAGCAGCTAAATCATTAAAAAAAATTCTGGCCACCGGCTTCTGAGAGGTCAGAGGACACCTGTTCCTAAAACACTGTTAACGACACTATGGCTAACTGCCAGGACATGCGCAAGGATTAAAGCCATGTAAAATAGTTGCAAATAACTGCTGGACAAGGAAATAAGAATACACCCCGAAAAATACAGATTAGAGTTCATTGGGAAGTCTATTGTGGTTGTGTTCATTACTCTTAAATACAAGATTCTGATGGTATTCCTGCAACAGTTCACTAAAATCAGCACCACATGAACTAAAAATGTAGCATCTTTTAATTACCCACTTTTTATGTGTTTCACTAAAATGTAACAACCACTTTGCAAATCCCATGTGTTGAACCAAAGAACTTGTGGAGGAAGTGCTCTAGACAGTATAAAAATAATAAGTTGGCTTACAGTCTTATGCACCTGATGCAATTTTGTCTTTTAAAAAAAGGAACCCTGCACACATCTAAAGTCAAAATGACCTTGGACTATTTTCTCAACTAATCTGCTTTTCATTAAAATGTCCAACCAAAAATTAACATCACTCCAAACTGTAGGAACAACCCAACGCACCCCAAATTCATATCCCCAAATTCAAAAAAAGCTCAATTTGTTAACAAAAAGGACTCACCCAAACACAACCTTAGTACACGTGTTACTGCTTGGGTTCCTTGGCTGCTGCTCTGACTTACTCTCCCACTGATTGTGTGCTATTTTTACAGTGTTATTAGGCACCTTTCCAGGCCTTTCATATATTACAACATCATTACATGAATACATAAATAGATTCTGGAGACTCAGAGCTGAAAGCATGGCTTATTTTGGAACATCTGAAAAAAGCTATTTAATGACAATTACTGGTAAATATAGTTCTGTTATCCATTACTGTAGGTTTGCAAAGATTTATGGAGAATTAACATTCTTGTACATTTAAATAAAAAAACAATTCATAGATAGCGAAGAAAGGTGCTGTAAGAAAGGTCCTGATCTCAAGTTGAGCGGTCAGAGGGAGGCTAAAATGACAGCTTGCTGTCCAGAATGGAAACAAATTATAGAGAGAATGAATTACACAGAGAAGTATCAGCATCCTCTGGCAGACAATTAAAGACCAGTAGAACCCTGAGAACAAGTCTCCACTAGGGATAGCACAAGTGGGAGGAAATAAAACTAAGAAAAGTGCCGAAAGCAGTCTTTGGCCAAAAGGAAGCCATGTGGAATCCAATTGCTTTTATATCATTGTTGGTGTCTTTTATTACACTACTTATTCTCTTTTGCCATCCAGTTTCACGTTACTGATATTGTCCTTACATTAATTGTTCAATTTCCTATAATCTGAGATTAGTTCCGCAGATAAATTCAAATGCAGTGGCATTAGTCTTTTATACAGTAGAATTTAGTCGAGCAAGTGGAATGTTAGATTGGGCCCAGTGCCCACATTAACCACATCAAGTAAGCAGTTTCCATATTCAAGTTTCTGTGGAACAACACCCTGTAAAGATTAGAATTATATGCAAAAATGTGTATTACAAGGCTGCAATTCAATGTTTCAACTTGATGAACTCTTGAAAATCTTAAGAGATTAAATGAGAGCATTCCATTCTCTACGAGGTACAGTTTATCACTTGTGTTCAAAACAATTATGGTGAAAAGGGATTGGACAGTACAGAGGATTAAAACAGCCTTTTCATATTGGGATCTAGATTTAAATTTAGTCCAGATAAGAGAAAGAAATTCTCTCCAATCACACCATATAAAATACATTTGAGGTATCGCCATTTCCCAATGAACAATGCCCAAGCACAGACTTGCTTAGCCAGCGTAGAGAAAATGTGTACTTTTCTCATGGTCCTCTACAAATTACAACACCAGTATAAACATCAATCTCAATTGTACCCAGTACAGTTAAAGTAGTGTTCTATAGATTTCCACAAGGACCCTGAATGTACAGTTTACAAAGTTTACCTAGTGTTAACTCGGTGCCAATAAACACTTGCAGTTCGTTGAAGAATAAATATTGACAATGAAGAAGCACGGTGGCATTTCAGAGGAACAGTTAAATGAATTCCAATTATTTTTAATACAATCTGCTTTGCTAGAAAGTTGTGCAGCAGACATGCAGATTTCAAAGCAGATGTTAAGCATCATAGCATTAGATGCAGTCCCATACGACATGGAACAACAACATTCCAAAGCACTCTACAGCCTTCCATGTGGATAGACACGTCTGGCATGCAAACACAAGGTAGTAATTCAAGTTAGGAATTCTGATGATGTCACAATCTTCTGGAATAAAGCTGGAGTTGTCCACGAACATCTGCAGAAGCTCACAAATTGGTTCTTTTAAAAAGCTCAACTCCAGACATTTTTTTGAAATAAAGTAGCCCACTACACAGTTTATTTTAAACCCGTTTTAACATTTATAAGATATACTAAGCAGAGTAAAGCTGTAAATTAGTGATAAGAGGATAGAAATATCAGACCTGATTTATTGCCAAATTGAATGTTGCTCTCTTTTTTTCAATGAGAAGTGTTAAAAGGAACGCAAGATTAAATCCAACAGTATGAGTCTTGGAAATACAATAACATTCTTCTGAATTTTATGACAGGTGCTTTACTACACCAGTTTAACAGGTCTTCCAACTATTAAAAATATGGAAAATATTTCTTCACTTTGAGCACAAGGCA